CATATTAGTATGTCATCAGTGAACACGATAACAAACATATCTAAATAAGGCTTAAACATTCTATACATAAGGTCCATGAATATTGCAGGCGTATTAGTTAACCCGAACGTGATGACCAGAAACTCATAATGACCATAACGGTTCCTGAAAGCTGTCTTTGGAATATCACATTCCCTTACCATGAATTGATGGTAGCCAGATTTGAGATCTATTTTCGATAAACAAGTGGCACCCTGAAGTTGATCGAAAAGATCATTAATCCTCGAAAGAGGGTACTTATTATTGATAGTAACCTTGTTGAACTGAAGGTAATCTATACACATTCTAAGGGAACCATCCTTCTTCCTCACAATTAAGACTGGAGCCCCCCAAGGTGAGACACTTGGTTAAATAAAACCATTCTCTTGGAGATATTTCAACTGCTCCTTTAACTCTTTCAAATCTTCTAGTGCCATTCTATATGGCATAATAGATATAGGGAGAGTATCTCAAAGAAGGTCTATACCGAAGTTTAATTCTCTCTCAGGAGGGACTCCGGGAAGATCATCACGAAAGACTTCTGGAAACTCTTTTACTACTGGAACTGACTAAATATGAGGTATCTCAATACTAGAGTCATTAACTCGGACTAAGTGATAGACACACCCCTTGGAAACTAACTATCTCTCCTTAAGGTACGAAATACAATGACAGTTAGGCATTGTTGAACTGCTCTTCCACTCCATAACTGGCTCATTAGGAAACTGGAACTTAACCACTCGAGCTCTAGAATCTATTGATGCATAACAAACATGAAGCCAGTCCATACCTAGAATGACATCAAAATATACCATGTCTAACTCAACTAAATTAGCCACAGTAATTTTGTGATTGACGGAAATTGTACAATCACAATAGACTCTCTCTGCTAGAATAGACACACAAACAGGTGTAGAAATACTGAAGGGCTCACTAAGTTGCTCAGGAAGAACATCAAAATTCATAGCAACATATGGAGTTACAAAAGATAAACTCACTCCTGGATCTAGCAAAGTGTAAACATTAAAGTTAATGACTTGGATCATACCAGTGACAACATCTGGAGAATACTCTTGCTCTTGGCGACTAATGATAGCATAAAGATGGTTTTCTCCTCCACCTGCCCCTGAAGTAGCTCCTCTAGATGCAACTCTATTTGTTAGAGAAACTAAATAAGACTAGGCTCTATTGCCCCCATTACCATTACCTTGCTTGTTCTTTGGACACTCTTTCATAAAATGACCATTCTGGCCATACTTGAAGTAACCAGTGGAGCCATCACGACATATCCTTGAGTGGTTCCTACCACACTTAGCACATGCAGGAGGCTTACTACCCCCTTATGCCATACTACCCTGAGAATAGGCAGGTTTAGCTCTGAAATTCTGACTATTGTACTCATTTTTTTTCTTTAGTGCAGGTGCACTAGCAAATGATGGAGCAAGTCCCTTTTGTTTCTGTTGGAAGTAAGACCAGTTTACATTAGTCTTTTGCTGCTCGGACTCATTCCCTATTGTCTTATCCCTCTTATTCTTAAACTCTTCTATATCCCTCAGAGTGTCCTCCTAAACTTGTTGCACATGGATCATTAGCCTTGTTATGTCCATATCACCTATCCTTGCTTGACAGGCGAGACAACCCATCAACGAACAAACTCATCCTACTTCTCATGTCAGCAACCATCTTCAGAGCATAGCGGGAAAGTTTTGTGAAGTTCAAACTATAGTCATGAACGCTCAAAGAATCTTGCTTAAGAGTGAGGAACTCTTGTACCATATCCTCTCTCAGTTCTCGGGGGAAAAAATGCCCCAAGAAGGACTCCTCAAAACAAACCGAACTCACAGGTGGTGCTCCCTCAGCTCGGTTCTTCTTCCATTTGTCTAACTATATCCTAGCGACACCCTGCATTTGGTATGCAGACAGTTCCTCCCTCTCAGTATTAGAAACAAGCATGATCTCAAAAACCTTCTGAAGCTCTTGAACAAAATTCTCTAGATCCTCAGTAACACTTGAACCTGTGAAGCACGGGGGATTCATCCTCAAGAACTCACTGATCCTTGAAATATCTGCCACTTCCTATCAATTCTCTCTCTATTGCCCAGCTTGGTTAGTCACAATTTGGCTCAACATCCGGATGGCCTCATGGAACTCAGCATTGGTGACCTCTCCTCGGGGTTGCACTTCAAGTGCATTAGGTACCCCTTGTTCCTGTGGTTCAACATTTCTTCTAGTTGGACGACCTCTGACAACTCTTCGTAAAGGCATGATCTGAAATACATGTGCAAGCACAAGTTAGAAAGAAACTTTTATAGAGATACACTCTATCGCACGAAATGAGTATGAAAGAAGTGAGATAGTTCCTAAGTATCGCAACCTCCTAACAATAGATGTGGCGTGCTTCACATCGATAACTAGGACTTCACAGACACAACTTCATAGACTCCCTAGGATTCTTAAACTCGATGCTCTGATACCAAGTTTGTCACGCCCTGAGCCTACACCCTGGGTGGGACTGGCAATCGGGAATCGTTGTTGGCCTCAACCGAACCCTTGGCC